AAGTGGCGCTGTAGCTCAAGTGGTAGAGCGCTCGCCTTGAGCTGAAGAGCTGAGGGACAGCTCCCAGGCCCAGAGTTCAAGCCCCACGACCGACCAAAAAAAAAAAGAACATTGGGCATGGGTGCTAGTACCTTATACCTGTAATCAAGCCTAGCTGTTTGGGAGGCTGAGATCTGAAGACTGCAGTTTAAGGCCAGCAGAAACAGGAAAATCCCGAGAGGCTTATTTCCAAATATTTAGCAAAAGGCTGAAAGTAGAAGTATGCCTCAAGTGGTAAGAGTGTTGGGCTTGAGCACCTTGAATTCAAACCCCAGAACTGGCACTCAAAAGAAAAGAGGATCATTGGACAGAGTCGCCAAGGGTACCATGGGGAACTACAGTCCAGGGCACATTGGACAGCAGTGGAGATGGATCTGCTGCCCAGGCAGCAAAATCAGACAAGAATGAGAAGCTACAGACTGCACATATCCATTTCCTTTCTGCTAATAGAAAAGCACTGGTCAAGCAGACTTTGGAGTGGATGAAAACTATGACATCTAAAAGAAAGTGGAGAGATAAGGATGCAAGATAAAATAAAAACAAAACTTGAGGAAAGCTTATTTCACCAAGCCTGGAGCACTGATGGGAAAAATCCAAGAAACTACTAGTATGAAGGGCCATAGTGGCTCATGCCTGTAATCCTAGCTATTCAAGAGGCTGAGATCTGAGGAGCATGGTTCAAAGTCAGCCCAGGCAGCGAGCTCTTATCTCCAATTAACTATCAGAAAACCAGAAATGTAATAATCCTAGCTACTCAGAAGGCTGAGATCTGAGGCTACAGGTTCAAAGCCAGTCCAGGCAAAAAAGACCCCCAGGAGACTCTTATCTCCATTTAATCCACTCAAAAACCAGAAGTGGAGCTGTGGCTCAAAGTGGTACAAGACTTGAGCAGAAGAGCTCAGTGACAGTGCCCAGGCCTTGAGTTCAAGTCCCACAACTGACAAAAAAGAGAGAAAGAAAGGAAAAGAAAGAAAGAAAGAAAAAAAAGGAAGGAAGGAAGGAAGGAAGGAAAGAAGAAAGGCAGGCAGGCAGGCGCTGGAAGTAGCGCTGTGGCTCAAAGTGGTAGAGCATTAGCCTTGAGCAGAAAAGCTCAGAAACAGTATCCAGACACCAAGTTCAAGCCCCATGACTGAAAACAAATAAAAAAATAGTACAGTAACAGGAATGGCAACTAAGCTACTGACTAGAAGCAGCACCCAAAGGTAGGAGAGAAATGGCACCAACTGGTTAAAAGGTGAGACACATGAGAACTGAAAGGGCACGTAAGAATAAACCCCAAATGGGGCTGAGTCACAAGGGTGGCAAAACTGGTAGGGGTAGCCAGCGGGAGGCAGGCAGGAACTGAACACACAGATACACCCCTCCTAGAATCCCAGCATTTCCATAAAGGCTTTATAAAAGAGACCTTCCAACCCACAGAAGCACCTCCCAGCTCACGGAGCACCAGGAAGTACTAGGTATCATGCTGTGCATTCCCAAGCCCCACTGTTCCAAAAACTCTGACCACTGAGTCCTCAGGCCCCAATGTGTTAAAAACTTAAGGTAACACAGAGTACTCATGGCTTATGCTGGGCCACACAGAACTCAACAATCATCCAACAAGACAGTCTCATGCGTGACAACAATACGTTACTTTAAGATTGAATAAAACCAAGGCTCTGTGAGGTCAGCTCACTGCAGGATGCTGTTCCCTTGGTGAGCAGCAGGGTGAGCCCCTCTGGTCAGAGAGGGTTGTCTGTGTGCCTAATCACAAAGACTTTGAGCACCTAGTCTAAAAATTACCCAGCTAGACATCACTGCTGAACCCAGGGCCCTCTTAGTGAAGGCTCAAGGGCGTCCCAAGATCAAAGTCTCACTAGCCTCTAGCAAGGACAGAACTAACAAGTTCCTCCTCCAGAGGGTAATCTCTCCTGTTTTGCTGCAGGACAGAGGCTCAAGCGAGGCTCAACCTCAGATGAACAGAGCCAAAAGCCGCTCCCAGGCCCAGCATATGGACTGGAGTTTGCCCAGTAGGAAGCACTGTGCCAACATTCCACAGCCAGGGCGGGAGAAGGAGGAAGCTGAGCTGACCCCACACAAACAACAGCTTCTTCATAGTACACAAAACCTGCGCTTCCCACGAAAAGATCCAAAGCGGAAGGCTGGAGGAGCTCGTTTCCTGCTTCCTCAAATGGAACAGCCAGCCAACACAGAAACAGGCGACTCCCTTACAGGCCTGCCTTCTGCTAGGTAGAAGTAAATTGAAATCAGCCTCAATCACTGTGAAGGAGTGTCAGGTTCTAGGGTTCTGTTTGTCTTCTTTTTATGTTTATTTGCATGAAATTCATTGGGAACATATAAAGCTACTTAACCATTGGTCTATGGAAAGAACTTTCTGTCAGAGGTAGACCTGGTTTCTGGCCCCAAATGTCCGAATACATACACATAAATACACACAGACACAAAGAAGACAGACAGAGAAATAGACAGACAGACTCACACACACACACACACACACAAACACAGTGCTGGGGCTAGAACTTAGGGCTTCTCCCACACTAGGCCATATCCTCAGCCCTGGTAACCTATCTTGTCAATTGGTAGTGCCCTATCATTCTTTTTAGTTTCCTCTTCTCTCAGTAGGAAAGCAGCCTCTCCTAATTACCTCACCCAAGGGTTATATAAAATGCAACAAGGCAGGCAAAACCCTTCTGAGGTTTTAAGCAGGAGCTGCATCACCAGCGCTGGCTAGCATGCTCATAGTTTCTTTCCACCCACTCCAGCCCTGTCCAGGCCAGCAGCGGGCAGTTGAACAGTATCACTCAAGTTAAACAGTGGGATGTGTTATTTCAGTAGGTTTTACAACTGCCTTCAACAAAGATGATTCTGACAGAAGCAAGAAGGGAAATAACTTCCCTTCACAGCCAGCAGGGCTTTCCATCTGCTTGTTTTCCTGTATCACCTAGCAGCCTTGCTCCATACCCAGAGTGATTGGACCAACAATTCTAGAAACTATCCACATAGTAAAAGGAAAGGCTCCTGTCCCTTCCCAACTCTGAACTTTTTTTTGGGGGGGGGGGCGGCGGCTGGTCATGGGTCTTAAACTGTGGGTCTAGGTGCTATCCCTTAGCTCTTCAGCTCAAGGTTAGTGCTCTATCACTTGAGCCACCACGCCACTTCCAGCCTTTTCTGTTTATGTGGTGGTGAGGAATCAAACCCAGGGCTTCATGCATGCGAGGCAAGCATTCTACCACTGAGCCACCTTCCCAGCCCTCTAACTGCATATTCTTAGAGCTCTTTCTAAACCCCCACATTGCGGATCAACACGGCACACAGTGCAGGAAGGCCTTGTGCCACCTCTGCTGGAAAACAGAATCATGGCCTCTGTTATATGCCTTAATGCATCTTAAAAGCAATTGACCACCTAGAGTTAAGCCTGCCTGAAATACCAGGCAACCCAATCATAAACCATTGTCCGTGACAGGTTGTGGCCAAGGGGACCCTGGCAGAGCTGGGCAGGAGACGCTGGAGGAGCAAAGCAGGCAAACTACTCTGAAGGATCAGGCTGGGGGGAAGGACAAGGGCAGGGGCACTCAGGGTGCCCGCTGTAGAATGAGCTCGGTGATCTCTGCTCTGCTCCCCAGTCTCATGGGTATCCCATAGTAGGCCGTGCCCGGGCTGACATATACATATGTTTCCTGGGCCACTCGGTAGAGCCCAGCAAAGAAAGGGTTCAGGAGATATACTGCCACATTCAAAGGGAAAATCTGCCCAGCATGTGTGTGCCCCGAAAGGATCAGATTAATATCCGGACGTTCCTGGAGGGCTCTCTTGGCAGCCAGGGGTTGGTGAGCTAGCAAGATAGTGGTGTGGTCTGGGCTACAGCCCCCCAAGGCTTTGGCAAGATCCATGCCATGACCAGAATAATGAAGAATGTCTGCTTCAATATCATCCACCCCTGCCAAGCAGACCCAGTCTTTTTCTTCCCCACCCTCGTGCTGGGTCTGGGTGGCAGAAATCTTCACGTTATCATTGTGAAGAGGCCGGACGTGGAGGGATTCCAACAGTGCAAACCAGTTGCTGACATCTGACGTGTAGTATTCATGATTGCCTGTAACAAAGTAGGTGCCGAGTCGAGAACGAAGCTGGCCCAAAGGAGCGACGGCCGTGCGCAGGACGGAGGCTTCTGAATCAGACAGGTCACCCACAATCACGGTGATATCTGGTCCCAGGGCATTCACCATCCTCACAAACATCTCCATCTTGGTCCTGCCCACTGTGGGCCCCAAATGAATGTCTGAAAGGAGCGCAATCTTGAGGTTGTTCATAGAAGAGGGCAGCTGATGAATGGGCACCTCCACAGTCTTCACAGCTGGGGGCTGCGCAGCATTCAGAAGCCCAACCACACTGAGCAGAGTGGTCACGAGGACTGCCAGCACAGGCCTGAGTACCAGCTTCCTCGTCTTGTCAAGGCTGCCCACAACCCTCCCACTTCGCCAGGCCAAGAGCTGGTAGGCCTGCTCCATGCCGCTGAGGATACAGAGGAAGAAAAGCATGATGATATAAGCGCCCAGGCAGGAGTAGGCTGCCAAGGAAAGGAGATAGGGCTCCTCGGCCACTAAGAAGACCATGGTGAAGAAACTGGAATGTGCCAGGGCCAGAAACAACATAACGACCAGCTTCCAAAGCTGAAAGCAGGTGGACTCCCCACTGGGGAAGGGGCAGAGGTTGCTCACTATGCTCCGCCATATGTAGAGGGAGCCAATAAGCATGAGTGAGTTGACAAAGAAGGCAAGCTGCAGGCGAAACAGCCACCGCCAGGCCCTGAGCTCAAGGCTCTCCGCCAGAAAGGAGCGGGAAAGGATCATGGAAACGAAGACAGTGACAGCAGCCAGGGCAGCCTTAGAGCCCAGGGACAGCTGCCTGAAGAGTGCCATGTTCTCTTGCTCCTGAAGCGTCCCCACCAGTTCTGTGCAGGTGGGCACTAGAAGGTGAATTCCTTAGAAAGGACAGTGGCCAAGAAGAGACTTCCAGGTCAGCTCCGCCTGCAACCAGGAACCGGCATCAGCTTTGTGGGATATTACAGAATCCTTGCCCCCATTCAAAACCCAAAGGCTGCTTACATCTGTCCAACCCACCCTGAATCTAAGTCACTCAAATATCAGTAAGTGGCTACACTTGACTATTAAAATATAGAGCGTTGAAGTGATGAGCAGATAGGCAGTGTTTCCATTTTGGTTTTTTTATGTGTGCATGCCAGTCTTGGGGCTTGAACTCAGAGCCTGAATCCTATCCTGAGCTGTTTTGCTCAAGGCCAGCACTCTAGCATTTGAATTATAGGCATAAACCACTGGCACCCTGATAACTAACAGTGTTCTGTATAAAATTTTTCCAAAGGGGCTGGGAAGGTGGCTCAGTGGTAAAGTGCTTGCCTTGCATGCCTGAGGCCCTGGGTTCAATTCCTCAGCACCACATAAACAGAAAAAGCAGAAGGGGAGCTGACGTTCAACTGGTAGAGCGCTAGCCTTCAGCTGAAGAGCTGAGGGACAGTGCCCAGGCCCAGAATTCAGGCCTCACGACCAAGAAAAAAAAAAAAGGTAAAATGTCTGGAAGGCTATGGTGCAAGGCCATTTTTGCTGGCTATAAGCTGGGTCTCTGGAACCAAAGGGAGCACACGGCTCTCCTTAAAGTTGAAGGCATTTATGCCCGAGGTGAAACAACACAGTTAGGCAGCAAGCCTAACAAAACCAGAGTAATCTGGGGAAAGGTAACGCGTGCCCACAGAAACAGTGGCATGGTTCATGCAAAATTCCAAAGCAACCTTCCTGCTAAGGCCATTGGACACAGAATCCGTGTGATGCTGTACCCCTCCAGAATTTAAACTAATGAAAATTAAAGTAAATCTGTGCTCTTGTAAAAAAAAATCCAAAATGAGTATGAACTGTTTTTTTGTTTAAACAAGAAAATCAGCCAGTCACTGGTGGCTCAAGCCTGTATTCGTAGATACTTAGGAGGCTGAGATCTGAGGATTGCAGTTCAAAGTCCACCTGGGCAGGAAAGTCTGTAAGACTCTTATCTCCAATTAACCACCAGAAAACCAGAAGTGGTAGAGTGCTAGCCAAAAACACAAAAGCTTAGGGACAGCGTATAGGCCCTGAGTTCAAGCCCCACAGCTGACCCCCCCCAAAAAAAAAGAAAAAAAGAAAGAGAGAGAGAGAGGGAAAAACATTACATTAGTGCCTCCAATTTAGTCAAGACTTTTTTCATAGTAACCCTAAGCCATCACTGTCTCCATTCCCTCTCCCCATGAGTGTACAATGGAGTTTACCGGACATGTGATCTGGCAACAGACCAAATGCAAGAATGTAAACAAATGAACTCCTCCCTCAAATTATGGCATAGATACTCTTATTTCCCTTGAGATATATTGTTTATATTAACATTGGAGAGATTGTTTTTCTTTTTAAAGAGTAACATATTAAATTTTCACCTAGGATAGTTGATGTTGTAAATAAACCCAAACAAGGCAATGATGGAAAGCCAGCCTGGAAACTTCCTTCCACTCTAAATCCAGGAGTCTAGTAGGAACACCTAGACACCTAAGTATTCCTGGGTTGATGCCAGCTTCCCCGTGTGGACCACCTAATGATGTCGGCATGGTGACCTAGAATCTGAAGGCTACTCAGTCCACCAGTTCCTCCTTCCCTTCCACCCTGATAATGGTTACGATTTGCTGTCTCCCCTTCTGCCTGAGTCTGTTTCCCTGAACTCTACCCCAATTCCACCTTCACCACTGGTTCTCACAACTCACTAGCTCAGACCCAGAGCTGCTCCACGTCTACAAGGAAGAAAACCTAGTCTACAAAAGAAGGCAGGAGAGGGAGTAGCAATTTGAGAGGGTGTCTTCCCAATGTAAAAGCATTCTTAGCAGCTGCGTTCCAAACACTTAAAATTTTCAGGCACTGGTGCTGGTGGTTCATGCCTGTCATCCTACTCAGGAGGCTGAGATTCTGAGGATCGCAGTTCAAAGCTAGACTGGGCAGGAAAAGTCCGTGAGACTCTTTATCGTCAACAAACTACTCAGAATACCTGAAGTGGTGCTGTGGCTCAAGTGGTAGATCTCTAGCCTTGAGCACAGAGTCTCAAGGACAGAGCCCAAGCCCTGAGTTCAAGCCTCAGGACCAGCAAAAAAAAGAAAAGAAAAAAGGAAAAAGAAAGAAAGAGAATCTCCCCCATTTTCTACCTTGGTTTTTAAGTTTCTGAATTTTCTCTGTTCCAGACCCACATATGCATAGCATTTTATCAAATGCTATTTAACTTAACACGTCAATGGGCACAAATTTCACTAAGCTGTACTTAAAACATGCCTTTGACCCCAGGAGATACCCAAGTTTAAGCGCCCCGCACGTGCAGCCGGGCGCCTGCCCCTCCTTCCCGCAGAGGCCAGGCCGACCTCCCAGAGGCGTCCCGGGCCTCACCTACTTGCTCCTGTGCGTGGCTGGAGGCTCCCTGCAGCTGACCTGGTCCCCCATTCCACCCGCACCGCCAGACCCCAAAGGAAAAGCGTCCCCAACGACGCGACGGGACACCCAAGCCCAAAAGCAGGCGGCGGGGACTGGCGAGAAGCCGAGTAGATGCGTGAACAGGGAGATTACCCAGCAGGAAAAACTCCCTCCACCCCCCTCCCGCAAAGGGGGGCCTTTCCTGACCCCACTTTTCTCCTTCCTGAGCGTTCTGCAGAGCACCGGCTGGAGAGGGGTGGGCGGCCCGCATCCGAGGCCGCGCGAGGGCGAAGTCCCTCCGGTGGCCTCCCGCTTGCTCAAACGGGGAAGCAGGTCCACGCGAAAGGGGCGAGCAGAGCGGAACACAAGCGACCCAGCCTGCCGGGAAGGACCCGCATCCGTTCCGCCCTCCCGCCCGCCCCTGGCAGCGGGCCGGTCCACTGCCTGCGCCCCGTTGGCCGCCTACCCGGCCGGCGCCAACACGTTCGGGGATCCCCGGATCCCCGCCCTGCGGGATGGCGAGCGGCCGCGGCCTCGTCCCCTTCCCAGCCATCGTCCCCTTCCCAGCCATCCGCAGACTTACCCAGGGTGCAGAGTCCAGCAGCAGCGGAGCCAGCAGCAAAGAGAGTGCGGGAACCAGGATCGCCGGCATGACCGCCCGTGCGCCCTGCCTCCGCTGCGCTCCGCTCCGCAGTGGGCGCCGGGGCCAGCCGCTAGGCCTCCCCGGGCCGAGGACCCGCCGCCTGGGCCCGCCCCGCGCAGTCTCCGCCCCGATCCCTCCCCCGCCGCTCAGAGGAGGCCAGGAGGGGGGTTGCGGGCGGGGTGGGAGGGGGAGCCCGGCTCTGCCTGGCCGACCGCGTGATTCAATGTATAGGCTTTGACCCGAGAAGACCCTTTGGAATGGCGACCCAGAGGCCCTGCTCCTCGGCGAGGAGGGGAAGGAAGGGGATTGATAACAACTAAACCTAAATGCGCTACATAGAATCTTAGCCTCATAAAACCCTACCCCGGGGACTGCAGGTGTGGTCCATAGTCCATCTAACTGGAGAGTACCAGGAATTTAGAAATGCTGAATCATAGAAAATAGGGAAGAGGCCTAACTTTGGTTATCTTATTTTACAAACTCTCCAGGTTATTACAATGCATGATAAAGTTTGAGAACCTCTGTTCTGGTTACTGAGTTAGTCCAAATGCCAGCCAGCAGCACCCAAAGAAAGCACCAGGCCTAGAAAAGTTTTATTTCATCACAAGGTGTTGAAGAATGGCAGGTACATTTGATCCTCTCAGCAGTTTTATGTTTGCAGGAAGATCTGCGAAATGGCCATCGAATAGTTTTGGGGGGGTTTTGTTGTTTTTGGTTTTTTAGTGGTTGGTCGTGTGTGTGTGTGTGTGTGTGTGTGTGTGTCCAGGGCTGAGAACTGTACTCTTTTTTTGTCGGTCATGGGGCCTAAACTCTGGGCCTGGGTGCTGTCCCTCAGTTCTTCAGCTTAAGGCTAGCTCTCTAGCACTTGAGCCACAACACCACTTCCAGCTTTTTCTGCTTATGTGGTGCTGAGGAATGGAACCCAGGGCCTCATGCATGCAAGACAAGCACTCTACCGCTGAGCCACCTTCCCAGCCCAGAAGGGCTGGGTACTCTTGCTTACCTATTTCACTCAAAGCTAGTGCTCTACCACTGAGCCACTACTCTACTTCTGAAGTTTTTTGGTGGTTAACTAGAAAGTGTTATGGAAATCCAGGTGTCAGGGGCTCATGCCTGTAATCCTAGCTACTCAGGAGGCTAAGATCTGAGGATCATGGTTAAAAGCCAGCCCAATCACAAAAGTCCAAAAGACTGTTATTTATAATAAACTACTCAGAAAAAGCTGAAAATGGTGCTGTGGTTCCAGTGCTAAAGAGTTAGTCTTGAGGGGCTGGGAAGGTGGCTCAGTGGTAGAGCACTTGCGTGGCGTGCCTGAGGCCTTGGGTTCGATTCCTCAGCACCATATAAGCAAAAAGAAAAAAGCCAGAAGTGGCGTTGTGGCTCAAGTGGTAGAGCGCTAGCCTTGAGCTGAAGAGCTGAGGGACAGCGCCCAAGCCCAGAGTTCAGGCCTCACGACCGGACCCCCCCCCCAAAAAAAAAGAGTTAGTCTTGAGCAGAGGAAGCTCAGGGACAGTGCCCAGGTAGAGTTCAAGCCCCAGGACTGGCAAAGTCTAAACGAATCTCATGGACTTCCCTGCCCAGGCTAGCTTTCAACCAGGTAGCTAGGATTACAATTGAGCTACCAGTGACTGGATTTAGTTGAGTTAGTTGGTTAGTTTGAGGCAGGTCCAGGCTGGCCTGGGACTTGCTCTATAGTTCAGGCTGGCCTCCATTCCAGCATCCCCCTTCATCAGCTCTGCAATGCTAGGTTTACTAGCATGCACGCACTTTTCCTTTGCTCAACTGTGGAAAAAGAAAGGCAGAATTGTAGTGTGAAATGACTTTTCCCAGACCTCCAATAAACACTAGATCTAGTTTAAAGTTAATAACTTTTTTCTATCTGGTTCCCTGGTTGCCTGAAAATCCAACTGTCATCTCACAGAATGTTTTAGCTTTAATAAATACTGAGTATGAGGAATGTTTAGATTGCTTTTCTTTTCTTTTTTTTATTTTTTGCCAGTCCTGGGGCTTGAACTCAGGGCTTAGGCCACTGTCCCTGAGCCTCTCTATGCTCAAGTTTATCGCTCTACCACTTGAGCCACAGTTCCACTTCTGGTTTTCTGGTGGTTTACTGGAGATAAGAATCTCAATCTCCGGGCTGGGAAGGTGGCTCAGTGGTAGAGCCCTTGCCTTGCATGCATGAGGCCCTGGGTTTGATTCCTCAGCACCACATAAGC